TAGAAGTCACGGTCCTCTGTGAGGGTTCGTGTTTGGAGATACTCGATTCGCGTGTGGGCATGGGCCGGGACGGTTACCGTGACGGGTTTGCCTCTGCGTGGCGTGGACGTGACCCCTGTCCCATCCTTGGTGCTGGCTGAGGTTAGGCCTCCCAGCTGGCAGCCCCCTCTTCAGGCTGAAAAGCGGGCCCAGCCATGATAGGGGTGTAATTGTTGCTGATTGCCTGCCTCACTGAGGGTGGAATGCTTTACAGTGCTATAAAAATGCACCATTGTATAGTTTTATGCTAATTATATTGTAATTTAGTGGTGGATTTTTTTTTTTTAATAAAGCCTGAAAGAAATCTAGTTCATCCTCAGTTCTGTCTTTTGATGTGTTCTCTGGTTCCTGTTGGCAGAGTACCGTCCATGATCTGACAGTCCACCGTGCAACTCCTGAGGATATTGTAAGTTTGACAGCAATCACTACTTCTTCTCTGCAGCAAGGAGATTTACCTGGTTATCTGACAAGTGTTTACCATACTTATGGGGATATTTTCTGCCAATGTTTACTCTCCCCGTTTAAGCTTCTAAAAATACTGTCTCTTTAGTGTTAGTTCTTTGTTTAGGATATCGTGCATCCCCAGATCTGGCAGTTTATATCTTTCAGTTTTCTATTTCCATTGGGAAGCAGTAGCTGTAGTTTTTATTACAATAAAGTGTATACCAGCATAAAAGCATAAAAAAATAAATACATAAAAACTCAGTGGAATGGTTGAAGTTATGCCTCATCTCTGCTGGAAGGACTGGAAGACATGCTTTATTTTAGGAATCTCTCTAGTTCTGAGGATACTCCATTTTCATTTAAATAATTTAACATCATTTCTTTGTACTGAACGACCTGTTCGCTACAAAATATGTGAATTCTGTTTCATTTTCCGTGGTAGCAGTGATTACCAGGATGGATCAGGCAGTATGGGATGTTGTTGCTTATAAATTTTGACAGATTAGTCAGGACAGATGGGCTATAAATAATTGGCTTGATTAGCAGAGGGAGACTTGATTCTATAAATAATTGGCTTGATAGTCTCCAGACACTTTAGCAAGCACCTCACGTGTTTAATTTGATTCATTTGTATTTAAACTGAAAATATATATATGTGTGTGTGTGTGTGTGTATACATATCTATGTCTCATTGTTAGAAGAAGAGAGAGAATATCTCTGGTGATTGACATTAATGTCAAATCAGGAACATGCATTATGTCTTTTTGTGCATGTTATAGGTGGTAGGTTTGGGGGGTTTTGTCCTTTTACAGCTGAGAAAACTTACTGAATCAGTGGTGTAGGGCAGATGGAAACTGTGAGACTTTGCCTGTTCACCTTTGGAGCTGCTTTAAATTTGGCTGCTATTGATGACGTTTTACAATACTGGGTGTTTGTGAGGCTGTCATTGGTACTACCGTGAAGTTAACATAAATAGTATTCAGCATATGAATGATGAAATCAAGAACAGCTTGTTAGCATTACCCTGCAAGTTTTGCTTTAGATTGTCCCTTGATTTTGAACGTAGCTGCGTCGCCATGAAATACACAAATCGAAAAACAAAGCACTGGCACATCTGGAACTGCAAGAGAAAGCACTGAAAAGAAAATGGAAGAAGCAAAAACAGCTGGCTGCTGATTCCTTGGAGAAAAGGAAATTGACTCTGATGCGTGAGGTGAGAGCTAAATCTGCACTTTCAGCCTGCTGTGGATGATTTGCAGCAGTAGTGGAAGCTGCTCTTGCAGTTCAGTCAACATTTGCTCCTCTTGTTAAGATAATTTTACTTTCTATATGCATATAACTCTCCCTCTATGTGTTGAGTGCATGCAGTCTACGCACTTCACTTGTGACACAGCCTCGAGATGAGTCTCATTAGGGTCTGATTCATCCTTTTTTACTTTCTCACTCAATTGGGATCTCCAAGGTGTATGTAGATCCCATTGCATTTGTAGAAATTTAGCGACCCCCTGAACTACTTCAGCTCTAAAGCAAGGCCCATTGTCTGATGACATCTGGGATGCCGAATCTCAGGATCACTTCCTTGAGCAAGACTTTAACTACTTTAGATTTGTTGGTACAGCACAGGAAGGCTTCAGGCCACCCAGAAAAATATCTACCAAGACCTTGTCTCACTTCTCCAAAAGGAGGCTTTCTTTGAATTTTTGTATTATTCTTGCAACACTCCTGCTATTGCCAAACGATTATATCAGCTAACTTTTGTATTTTTGGTCCTACAGCATATTTTCTAACACTCACAAACAGAGCATCTGCTCCCATGTGAGATTCACTACGGGTTTCCTTCAATATTTCTCTTACCATTGGGGTGGTGATCAGTACTTGTCCATCTTTAGTTACCCACCAACCTTCCTCTGACTTGGTGCATTCTAAATGTTTGTCAAGCCGATCCTCCTCTTCAGTATATTTCAGAGGTTCCCATTGAACCCTTCTTGGTGGAATCAATGCTCCAATTAGTGATCCTCTTTCTGCAGTTCCTTTAGCAGTTTCATCTCTGCCTTTCAGTTTCCTTTAATTATCTCGGTTTGTCCTTTCTGGTAAGCTTTGCAATGTACAATTGCAATTTCTTTTGGTCCTAGAACAGCTTGCAGCAGTTTTAAAATCTCTTATGTTTCTTTTGGAGTCTTTCCCTCTTCTCTCTTTCATCTTGGTTGTTATAAACCTTGTATGCTATTTCTATCAATACAGACATTCCTCCAGCTCCTTCTACCTGTTACAACTTCTTTCTAATGTCAGAGGCTGGTTGTCCTATAAACAACACACTAAACATTTTTCTGTCGACCTCATCCTCTCGATCTAAATCAGTCCACCTGCGGGCAGCCTTGCACAATCTCATAAAATGCCAAGGGGCTTTCCTCTGGTTCTTGCTTTCCTTCATACAATTTTGATACATTTTTAAGCTTTGGGACTCCATGCTGGACTCCGTATAGAATTAGTTGTTGATGTTTCAGCATTGTTTTTCCAGTTCCATCATTTGGGTCTCAGGCAGGCTCTGCCTTTGTCGGATATTCATCTACACTTTCATCCACATTCCACCTCCTCCCTTCTTCCCTAGCTTTTTCCAACACTGTTTGCCTCTCCTTGGCCATAAATAAAGCATCCAGTAAAGTTTGCATATTCCCCCAGTTTGAATTATGAGTCAGTATTATTGTTTTCGTGAGCTGGTGGGCCTTCTCTGGATTCTCTCGGTATGAGCCTATAGACTGTTTCCAATTGAACAAGTCCCAAGTGGTAAAAGGACATGCACGAACAATGGCCCGTCTGTCTCTACGGCTTGCCGGAGGTGCGCCTGGATAACAGGACACTGCCCTCTCATTCGGCTACCCATAGGGCTAAAAGCTTCACTCCCTTTCCCTGTGTCTGCAGGGGCACCCCCCATCCCCAGCTCCTTCCGATTCTCCCCTATTTTGTGAATGGACCCATGGAGCCAGTAGGGACATATTTTCCTCTGGACATGGGTCCAATCTCTTCTTCCTGGCCCCACATCCAGCACAACAACCTTTTTCATCCTTTTCATCCTCCTGTTTAGTATCCACTATATATATTCCATTCCCTCCTTCATGCATATTTAACAATTTGCATTTCCTCCTAGTACCATAATCATTTCTTAAAGTCATAAAAGTGTCCCCATATAGTATTTCATCCCAGTTTCCTTCCTGCTTACAAAATATTGTTAATTGT